CATAGCAGCCATGTCTCAAAAAAAGAGGAGAGGTGCTTCAGAACAGGCTAGGGAACAGGTTCTCTTCCCGACCCTCCCCGTGCCCCCCCCATTCTTTTCCTGAGACCGCCCATCCCCCACTCCTCTTCCTGAGTCCCCCACTCCTTCTCTTCCTGAGCCCCCCACTCCTTCTCTCCCTGAGCACCCCCACTCTCCACTCTCATCCTGAGCCTTGGTATCTTCCTTCTCCCCATCTCGGGTAGGCAGTTAACAGGTGCCATTCTGTGCCTGTGCAGGCGCCACACCTGAAGACAGATCCTGCAGCTGCCACAGCTCTCCACTCCTCACACCGCAGCCCCTCCAGCACCGTCCTGCTGAGAGCCTAAGCTGCCAGTGGACTTGGTCTGGACCCACACAACCTCCAAGGCCAGTGAGCTAATCAATCGCCAGCCCAGACTCAACCCGAGACTTGGTGTCATCCTCCCTCCTCTCCCATGTCCCTTCTCTCCACACTAGGTGGTCTGGTCTGTCTGTCTCAGGTAGGGTTACTATTACTATGATGAAATACCATAACCCAAAAGCAAGTTTGGGAGGAATGCCTTTATTTGGATTACACTTCCACATCATAATCTATCCCTGAAGAAACAACACATCTGTCTTAGTTTGGTTTCTATTGCTATAATAAAATGCCATGACCAAAGCAACCTCAGGGAGAAAAAGACTGATTTCACGTTACAACTCCCAGGTCACACTCTATCATTAAGGGAAATCAGGGCAGGAACTCAAGGCAGGAACCTGGAGGCAGGAACTGAAGCAGACACCATGGGAGATGCTACTAACTGACCTGTTCTCCATGGTTCACTCAGCCTGCTTTCTTATGCAATCCAGGACTACCAAGCCATGGATGGCACCACCCTAGTGGACCAGGCCCTTCCACCACTAATTAAGACAATGCCCCCACAGCCTTGCCTATATTGCCAACCTGAGGCTTTTGAAGCACTTAGAACAACCGAGTAATGAAATTTTTTATTTTAAAGTGTAAATGGCCAACAGCAACCAGACTGACAGGACTCTGAACTCTGACTTCTGACTCTCAAAAATACGTTAAAATCCTGAAACTTATTCCTACCTATATCTATATCACTGGCACCCCATGTCCTCCCTTCATCAAAGTCTTCTGTACGTTGGAAAGACTTTAATCCAGGTATGAAGGACTTCAGGGAGCTGAAATAAAATAGAAAGGCTTAAATCCCAATGTTCTCTGTGACTGTGGGCTGATTGTTTCTCTTTCTGAGCCTTGGTCCTCAAATGGAGAATGGGCTTGCAATGCCAGCTACCACTGAGCATCCCCAAGCACTTACCAGTTATTGTATTTGGTAAATGTCCCTGGTCATATTCCTGCCGTGTTCAACTCAAACTCTAACTTGCCTAAGACCCCAGAAACCTCTCTCCAAGACCCTGGAGTCCCTCAGGTGCTACATCTTAACCTCAAGGGCATTTCATCACTATTGCTGGATGTCTGGATGTTTGTTCCTCCACAACCACCAGACCAGCAAGTCCCTAAGGTCCAAGACCTCTGTCATCTGACAGCCCTCAGACAAAAGTGTCCGTACACAGGGCTCTGAAGGGAAGCAAAGCTAGCTCAGGCCAGCACTGTCATCCAAGAGGCCTCAGTCGCCCCTCTACACAGTGAGGACAAAAGGCCCATAGTGTTTGCCTAGCATGCATGAAGACCTGGGTTTGCACCCCCAACACTGCATCAAACAGGGCAAGGAAGCATAAACCCAAACAAAGCACCAGGAGACAAGACAGGAGGATCAGAAGTCTAAGGTCATCCTCAGTTACATAGCAAGTTCAAGGCCAGCTTGGATAGAAGAGATCCTGTCTCAGAAGAAGTTTTCAGAAGAAAAGACAAAGAAGAAGAAGAAAAAAAAAAAGGCTAGGTCAGTCATTGTCTTTTGGTGGAAAGAAGAAAGGAGATTGCCAAGCTGAAAAGATAAGAGCTTGGCAGGGAACAGTGTCTGGGCAGGTTCCTCCTCATCTCCCATCCAGGACACACCCGCCCACCTGTCCTCCCAGACTGACCAGGACCTACCTTTCTTTGGATCTTATCTTGATCTTAAAAGGGAAGGACAACTTGGCTGAACACTAAAGAAAATGATCCCAATCAAAATGCCACTGGCACTCTTTTCTTCTCCTTTGACCTAGAGTGCTAGGAGGGTGAACTGGACCTATGGTGCTTATCAGGAAGGCTAAGGTCGCGCAGAAAAGCGAAAGCAGGAGCTGACCTGCCTTCTGGAGCACAGCATGTTACAAGGAAAGGCAACAAGGTAGGCACATGGCCAACACTTGGTAAATATTTCTTTTTATACCTTTTTTGAAAAAAAAAAAGGTCACAATTAATAAACTATAATAACAATGATAAGAAGATGAAGAAGTGGAAGAGAGAAAGAAGAGGAGGAGGAAGAAGAAATATGTGGTGATATGATGCCAGGGATGCAACCCAGGTCCTTGAACATGCTAGGCAGGTGTTCCCCGTGAGCCTCACCATCAGCTCTACCACAGGGCATCTTTGTGGAGCCCCTGCTATGTCAGGCACCAAGTGACGGGTCCATCTTCTTGTCTCTATCATTAGACCCCTACTCTGTGTCTGCCTCACTGCCAACTGCAACACATCAGTCCACCTGAGATCACCTTAGTCATCCAAAACAAGCATTTTAAACAAAACGATACAATAATCTAGAATGAGAAATATTTGAGGAAATTGTAAATAATGTGTGTAAATACCTCATGTGTCTTCTCAGTTATCTACAAACCAACAATTTAAAGTGTATTTCTCCTTGTGAATCAGTCAACAAGAAGCCCAGATTTGCCAGAATGCTTAAGGTATCTATAATTATTAGCACATCTTACAGGTATAAAAACTGACACTTATGACAATTAAGTTTCTTGCTCAAACTTACGTGTTAAGAAATACAACCAAAAATTTAACTCAAGACCTTCTGCCCTAACTAAGGCTCTGACCCTCTTAAAGTATCAAGGGCCCTGAATGAACATGAACATCAAGGTTTTCATGAAGCATCAGGCATCCAGTTCTTCAGGAACAGAGCGAGAAAGACAGGAAGTGCTACACAATGAGTTCAAACCAGCCTGGGGAATCTGGACAATAAAGTGACTGGACTCTGCCTCAAAAGTGAACATGTTAAGAGACCTGGGGATGTAATTCAGCGGTAGAGATGTTTGTTCAGATGCATGAGGCCCTGGATTCAATGCCTAATACTTCAAACAAAATAGAAGAAAAAAAAACCTAAGAAGGGAAATTAACAGGAAATAGAAAAATTGGTCATGAGATTAGCTTGTCCTTATCTTCCTCTGTGTTTTCTTGGGGGTGGGAGGGATTGGAATTAATATTTTAATACAGGTTCTAACTCTGTAGCCTAAGCTAGACTCAAATTGGTGACCCTCCTGTCTCAACTTTCAGAGTCTTGGAATTACAAATGTGAGCCACCATGTCCAGTTTGTTACTTCTCCAAATAAAAAGGAAAAAAAATAGAACCTATAAGATTACAGAAAAGATTAAATCAATGGAACAATAAAAGAAGTCCCAAAGAAAAAGGTAGATAGTATATAAAATGTTAAACTTCTGCCTATAAAACTTATGAGCAACATTTTGCATCTGTTAATGACTTATTCATTTGTAAAAGTAAGGCCCTATGTTGGGCAAGTCAGTTATGTGCTACTTAAAAGTCTCAATAATTGTACTTCTGACATTCAGATGCTAAAACCTTACCAAGCCCCAATGACACAGTTTTAAGTCAGGAAGGCAAAACCCTCTTAAATGGGTTTATCATACTCATAAAACAGGCCCAAGGAATTTGCCCCTTGCCCCATGTGAGTACAAAACAAAGGCGCCTTCCTCAGACAACCTATCAGTCAGTACCCTGAGCTTGGACTTGCCGGCACCCGGGACTATAAGGTACAAATGTCTGTTGTTTTCAAGGTGCCCAGTTGTATGATATTTTTATAGCACCCTTAATGGACTGAGGCATGATCTCTCAATCTGTAAAAATAGTATGACAGTATGTCTCTATTCTAAAAGGTGTGTAAGAATTTGCTAGCACATAGCATACTCTCATAAAGATGTCTCACTTGAGCTACACGGTGAATTCAAGGCCAGACTAGGCAACCTCATCAAAATAAAAAGGGGGAGTCCATATACTCAAATATGAAGTATAAAGATGACCAGGGCTGAGCTGGGCTTTAATCCCAGCACTCATGAGGTAGAGGCAGGTGGGATCTTTGAATGTTTAAGTCAAGCCTGGTCTACCAGAGCTAGTTCCAGGACAGCTAGCGCTGTTACACAGAGAAACCCTGTCTCACAAAAAATAAATAAAAAAAAAAAGAAAATGAAAAAAGAAAAAAAAAAAGATGGTCAGGGCTCTAGCTCATCTAGTTCAGTAGTAATGCATAAAGCCTGCAATGCAACACAGAGCCCTGGGGTCAATTCCTAATACACAACTAAAGAAGAGGAGGAGGAGGGAGAGGAGAAGAAGGACAAACAGGAAATAAATAAGTCAGCTTCTGAATTAGAATCTCTGCTTCTGGAATGACTAGTCCTGCCACATAATCCAGTAGGCAGTAAAAACAACATGGCTGGGATGGAATGTTCACACAGAGAAGACAGAGAGCTACAAAGACTCAGGACTCAGATAAACTCAGATTGGCCCCCCTTCTTCAGACGGCTCCAAGAGAGCACTCACTTCATTCCAGGACTCTTTCCGCCTTTGGTGTCATAGCCTGAAACTTTTTTACGTAAAATATTAACTTAAATTAAACAACCACTAAATAAATAAATAACAACTTCCTTCAGTGGTCTTCAACAATCACCCAAAACTCTTCCCAGCCAGAGTCAATGGCCCTAAGTAGTTTTTAAAAGTCAGACAAGCAAGTTTTTAATTATTACAATTAGGCATAAATATGAAAATTCAAATAGTAAAAGAGGATAAAGAAAAACATTTCACCTTTGCATCCATCTTCCTTCACAGAGGCACCACTGCTGGGTTCCTGTACATTGCTCCCCACAGTTCGAGCTGACTCTGCAGTTTTTCACCCATATATACATACACTCTGTTCGTGTGTGTGTGTGTGTGTGTGTGTGTCTTTCTCTGCTCAGTCTTCTCTCTTGGCGTTAGTTCATTTACGATGAGTCCACACTTTCTACAAGCCGCAAAGGATTCCACCACATGACTTTGGTTACAATTTTAACAAATCTCCTGGGTTTCTATATTCTGGTTGTTACAACAAGAAAAATTTATAAGCAACACCATGCTTATAAACACATCTTTGTAAATAAAAACTCCGATCCATATATTAAATATGTAAAACGAATGAAGCTACCAGGGCAGTGGTAAAACCAGTTACTTCCAATCACCACCATACCCTGCAGGACTTATAAAGTAGGTCAAATACTTTAGGCTGCTATTAGGCTCCCTCTTCCTACTTCACTGCCACTTTCTGGATCACTATATCCTGAAACTGTACTTAGGAAAGTTACTGGCATCCTCCCCTCTTGGACCAAGAACCTCCCTCATTTTAGCAACATTTGATACCAACAGCTGCTACAGCCTTCAGGGGACTCTTGCTCCTGTCAGAACAATGTACTGTGCTGCTTCATTTCCACGGCAGCCAGCCCTTCTTCTCCCTGGAATCCTAAAGATAGGCATAGCCAATCTCTGACTCCCGTTCTCCTCTGTAGATTGCCACGTGATAATTCCGGAAGCATGGCGACTTAACCAGGATTCCAACTGTCTGCGGATGGCCTCAAGCAAGGAACATGATGTCCTTGTCCCCACACTTCAAAGAACAAGTTAAATAGCCAGGCAGCACTCACTGCCGGACACCCGAGTTGGTAACTTACTCACTGGACTTCAGGCAAGTCTGACCGGCTGAGAATTCTCTCCTCAAGTCTTTCCGGCTCTTTGAACAGCACGCTTCAGCTAATGACTCTCATGGCCTCCCCCTTTCTTCTCCTTTCCATGCAACAAGCTGCCAGATTCTACCAAGTCTACCGGGAAAATGTCTTGGTATATCTACCCTACCTTTGGGTCAGACCATTGCCTCCTTACCTTCTGTCCCAATCCTGATGCCACCAGCATGATTTGCTGGGCACCAACATCACATTTGTCTGCCTTCTCAGGCATATGACTTCTGTAATTGTTTCCTGCCTCACGGGCCTGGACTCAAGGCCTACACTGACAAGACACTCACAGTACCCCTCCCAGACGGTCCAAGTCGCTCAATTTTAACAATATATCCTCATCCCTCCCTCACTAGACAATGGGCTCCTAGAAGACACTTACCAACACCTCATCTCGGGCTACTCCAGAGCCCAGCATGATGCAATCCATTTGTCCATGTAATAAGAGTTTTCTAAAGTTACCTGATACCATTTTCTAGCACATGTTCATATTATTCCAAAAAGGAACTCTTTATAATGTAAATCTTTACTAAAAAAAAATATTTTAAAGTCATCTAAAACACTTTGGGGTCTATTTAGCTTGTATGACTGGGTGTGTAAAGAAACAGATACTCTCCTGGGACTCACTCTCATACACTCATATACACATTAAATGCCCTAAAAAGTTGTAGAAGTAACTTGAAAATCGCACAAGCAAAACTTCCAAAAGCATTTAATGGTATTTAATGGCTATCTATCAAGATAATTTTTCTACTTGCCAATAGGAAAACAGATTTAAGAGAGACCAGTAAAATCTCTTGATTTTATGATCTTCGGGTGTCCTAATCGGCTGTCTGAACCAGCAAACACTGAGCTCCAAAGCTGACAATATGACTCAGAGAGAAAGGCCATACATATGGTAAGTCAAATGTCCAAGAACTGAAACAGCAATAAACACAAATGCTTTTGTGTGACCTCTGCCCGTCAGCTTGGAGGGCATCCACTTAGATGTCCGTCGTTCTGTGAAGCTAAATTCTTTGAAAAGTTAACTTTCTCAATATATCTTTCTAAACTGATGAAGAAGTCACTGAAAAGAGTTTTCAGAAAGTCAAAAGAGGAGGGTCACGCTGCAAAAGCACTACTTTGTACGAAAATATTAGAGGGTACACTCTAAATGATTCTCCACGTGTGCCCCCTTAGTAAAATGCCACGTGACTCTCCTTCAAGGAGTCAAAACTTTGTTGAAGTTTCCACATGCCCCCATGTAAACCTTAAGAACTGCTAAGTTACTGATTGGGTCCACGTTCAGGGACTGGAAAACCTCTCCGGATTAAAAAGTAGCGTGATTAACAGAGACGTCTGAGTTGGCACAAACGAGGGTATGCCTGACAGCTCGGGAGCCCCTCACAGGTCCATGACCTCCCAAATAGTTCACTTCACAAACGTGGTCCCTTGGTGTTTTTTTAAAGGGCCAACAAGCTAGCCTCACGTTACTGGGATGGGTACTGTACATGGAATCTCCCCAGTCTCGCAAACACTTTCCCTCAGAGTCCCCTTTCAACACACGAGACCTTTCCTCATCCGGGCCGCCACGGACACTGGCTGGACCAGGAGGCTTAGGGGTTTGTCCCTTTTGAGTCCAGATTGGCCTGTGAGCGGAGCTGGAGACCGGCTGCCCGGGGTTGGGGTGTGGCGAGGTTGGGGGGCGGGCGGCCCCACTCACCTGCGATTCATGGGCCGGACTCTCACGGCCACCTTGACCGATGCCATGGCTCATCACGGCCCGGCCCGCGGGGGCTCCCACCAGGCCTGCACCCCGCGGCCGCCGGCCGCTCCAGCAACTGTGCCCGAGCCCCCGCCCACTTCCCTCTCACCCGCCCCTCGGCTGGGGCCGACCTAGAGTTGCTAGGCGGCCACACCTGCCAGGCCACTGAGCATGCCCAGAGCGGCTCCGGCCCGCGTGATCCGCGCACCGGGGTTTGGCTGCTGCCCACGGTGCGGAGGGGCGGAGCCCGGAAGCCTGGGCACCGCCTCCTGGGTGGCCTCGCCTTGGAGTCGTTGGCAACCAGTTGTGCTTACCAACTGGCAGAGCCGAATCCTGTCAGGCCCTGAGAAACAAGGAAAAGGAAGATCACTGTATTTAGGATCTTCTCAAGGAATCCGAGGAATTCATTACCAAAAACGAACTTTGCAACCATTAACATGGATCTGGCTTTATTCAGCCCGTGCTAATCAACTCATCTGTCTTGCTGAGAAGCAAACAGTCATACAATCTTACAGCCAAAGGGGATTCCTAGAGACTTCTCTGATTCTTCATAAAGGTCTAAGCATGTGTTCTGAACCCCACAATTTAGAATACCAAGGAAACAAAGGATCGAGGATGTTTCGGGCAGATAGAAACGTCGTTATATTGGCTGGAATCATGTATGCCTAAGGAGGAGTTTTTGCATTTTTATGAGTTTGGCGATTTAACTTTAGTCATAGGGGGACCAAACGTAAGGACATGCGCGCTCTTTCTTAAGAGTTAAAGTCTTTAGCATTAATGACCTCTTAACCAGACTCTCTTCCTATAAAGTCATTCATTTAGCCCTGCCATCTTACAGTCCTTACCTCCACCTGTGCTCACAAAAACTCAGACATCAACTGTCTTCTTCCTGCCCCATTCAGGGCAGCTCAGGACGTGCAGATCAGCTCTTCTCTGGGACCCTGACCTTCTACCTCTGGACTTGCTGATAAAAGACTGTACCGCAAGCTGGCTTACAAAACCTAGCCCTCAAGGTCTCTAACCCGGTCACCAGAGAACATTCTGCCCTCAGGACCTTCATATCCCCGCTGTTATTTCACACGCCCGGGCACAGGACTCGGGTTCAAAAGGACTCTTCTAGAGAGCTTAGTCGTGATGCTCCCACACTCCCTGCGGGGAGCCAAAGGGGGCTCCCAGTTGTTAGCTCCAGCTACAAGACTAGCTTTGAGTCTTCCAGTCTTGCGTTAGCGGGCGCGCAACTTCGAGGTGGCTGACCCGTCTGCAGATCTGGAACCCCGAGAAATTAGAAATGGATTGAGACGATATGTCTGCCAACATATTGTCCACTAGCTCCAGGGACCGTCATTTCATCGGCTTTCCTAGAATCCTAAAAGCTAAGTTAGAATCAGAGTATCCCCCTTTGTTCGGGGCTCCTACAAAGCCGAGGGGCTACTACTAGGATAGCTCAACGATGGGTGCAGAGTCAACCAATGAAGAGCGGGAAAGCTCAGAGTGCTGGAATTGATGAGCGTGCGCAGTAGCAGAAGTTGCGGGCTAGCCTAGGCGCCGCGGTTAGCCAGGCGGCTCTCTGCTTTGGCAGTCACGGGCAGGGGCGGAGCCCGCTTTCTATGGGAGCTGTATAGGGACAAACTGTGGGACGTGCTCTCCGACGGGCGAGACTTCAACACCCGGAAAGCCAGTTACAGTGTCACTGCTGATAACAACCAAGAACAGGTAGAAGACGTCTGAACTCAACGACCGCAAAATCCACCCTACTCTTAAGGACGACAGTGTTAAGCTGTAGTTTACTTGTTACGCTGATTTCCTGTACCTGATTTTTGTTTGCGTTTGGGGTTATGCAAGCCGGTCTCTCCAGTATTTCCAACAACCTGCATGTTTATAATCCTCCTCTGCTTTCAGCACATTGCTATTGGACACAAAACCGACAAGGTGCAGCGGCCCACGGAACTCAATCAGCAAGTCTGCAGATCTTAAATTAGAAGCAGCGAGGTTTTTCATCACAGATCTGACTGAACAGGCACTTGACTCCCTTGATTAATTTACTCTTTGCACTTCGAAGAAAGAGGGAGAAGAGAGGGAGGGAGGAAAAAAAGGAGAGAGGGAGGGAAGGAGAGAAATAAAGAAAATTACAGAGTGAAAAGAGGGTTATAAGATAAGGGACTTGCTCTTCTCAACTATAGTGAATGCTCGGGTACCTCTTTTGTTTCCCTCTTCAGAAATATTAGACAGACATCCAGGATTTTACCTACACAGAAGCTTCCTCTGAAAGTCAAGTATTGAGGCTCTCCAAACGCTGAGCAAAGCATCAGTGTGTATAAGGACACCTGCCAGGAAGGCAGCTACTCAGAAGAAACACTGAATAATCTTAAAGTCCCTGAACTTGTATGAGGGGAAAAAAAAAAAACCAAAAACCCACTTCTATATAGTCGGCCGTAGAGGAAGGCACAGCTATAGTAGCAGCTGGGAGTTGGATGATATTAGAAATCACTGATGTTTTGTTCTAGATCAAAACTGTTCCACCTCTCTCCAATTGTTCTTTTATTTTGACCTTGGAATTAT